GAGACAAAATATCTATATATATATATAATAAAACGTTATAAACTATTTTTCTGAAGGTAATTAATTCTAAACTACACATTTACAGAAAATAAATAAAAGCAAATAATGTAAAGTCGAGTTGGCAGATACTATGAGCTCAAAATTTAAACAACTAGATATTGAAGTCGAGTTATTCTTTAGTCTGAAAATTTCTCTCCTCTGTTTTTATCGATTTACCAATGATGATAAATCTTGTCAAGGTCAACATCCCCTTTTGCTGAGAGGTAAAATTTTATTTCTCTGTAGCAAGACTTGATTTTGGATCTGAATCAATAAACTAAATTGCCACCCACAGTCAGCACTGGAGGCTTGAAAAATGGTACATACATCATAAAACTGAGCTTGGTCCGTAAACTTCTCTTCTTTCTGTGTGTAAGTTATACCCTGTAGGTAAATGTTCTGCTTGCACCAGTTTTTGTTTTCTCCAGAATAATAAATTTACGGTCTGTGTACTGCTTGTAAATGATCTATCTGTTTCATAGATTCAAAACTACTTGATACTCATGAATAAGTTTCCTGACATTTTCCGTGCCATAATTAAAGTGAACATTTATTGCATCACTTTTTCACAACAATGAACGTTTTCTCCAAGATATTGGACGCAAACTTTATTGACTTTTGCGTTTGCATATCGATACGTTTCAGTGGTATTAAGAAATCTTCTTTGAAAAATTTGGCACATTACAGAAATCCCCCCCCCCAAATATCACTGAGCATAGTCAGTGGAATACGATACTGTGTATTTGTAAACTTTTTGAGAAAATACTTTGCTACAGAATCAATGTTCTTTTTGACTTCCAATGTAGTAGTCTGTAAGTGCATTGTAATTTCTTAGATTGGCACTTACAACTTAATAACATAATAACTAACACGCTTGTTTGAAAGGCCTAAATGATAACCTGATATGCTTTCCAATTTTCCAAACTTAGCTTTCTTAACAGATGATCTATTAAATAATGTATCTAAAGTGCGTAATAACATTTCCACTTTTTTGTCACTGGTTAATGTTTTCAGGCATCATTGATTCCTATGAGTAACAAAGTATTATTCTAGTAGCACAGTTACTCTAAGCTTTAAAGCTACACTGTTATGCTTACCTAGCATGATAGAGGAGCTATCCGAGCTTAACACTACCATTTACTCTATATCCATATTGTGAACCACATAAAATTGTTTAGTAGCA